CTGTCTGCAAAGATCTGATCATAATAGATATCAAAATAGCTTCGAAGAAGATAGATTTATCATCTAAGGTCTAAAAAATCCCTTTTCTGACTTCGAAGGCTTTCATTTAGCCGATTTTCTTGAGTAAAATCAGTAAAATAAAGCCGTTAGATCGGGTTTCTACTGCGCATGGGTGAAATAGCCTGATTCTGGCTTCCGGTGTTTGATATTTCCAGAGCCCCTGTTTTTCGTTGCGAGCCTGCGAGTAAGAGGGACAGTGGCGCTGGGTACGAGATTGGTCGTCAATTAGAAGCAAACATACATTCATTTAGGCTTTTTGCAACGCTGAAGTTGTTGCTGTTGTTGTTGTTCGTTTTTTCATAATTATAGCAAAATATAGGGCTTTTTAAAGAAAAAGAAATACATAAAAAACATGCAAAGCTGATCGAAACATTATCCTTTACCGAGTTTCCTGTGTGAGACAGGAACCCCATTTACAGGTACTAAAGTACAGGTACTGGTAGATAACACAGAATGCATTATTGATAATATCATCAAACCTACTCATATCGATAGACAACACAACGAAACCCGATACCAATGCACAAATACCAAAAACCACAAAACTTCGATAGATATCTTTTCGAGAATAACCCACAAACCGAATAACTGTCGATGATATGTTTGCCATTCGTATAATCGATATTTGGTCAATACCGATAACTATCTTATCATTTGGAGAATCGATAATGTTCCGCAAAGAAAAAAAAACGCAATGAAAACAACACGTACAAATAAACCGCAACGAACGTAAAGACTCTATAATTGTATGCCATTCACGTAATCGATATTTGTTCGATAACGATACCTATCTCTTCAGGTGCATTTAGAGAATCGATAATGTTCCGCAAAGAAAAAACGCAATGAAAACAACACGTACAAATTAACCGCAAAGAACGTAAAGATATGATAATTGTCCGTAAACAACTTTAGATCTACACGCAAGCCGTAACTAAAAAACCGTACACAAAGATACGTTTTCGCAACGCCTGTGYGTTGTTTTTCGCTCCCGTGAGGACGAGGAATACAAKTATATTGTAACAGCAMAGACAAYAGCTAAGCCGATTGAAAATACCGTGTTTTAAAAAAATTGAAAAAGAAGTCATTAATCAAACTAATACGGTTTAAGATTCGAAGCCCAAACTTTGAATAATCTATATGAAGAGGATTATTCAAATTCGCTTATATGAAAGGAAMATTTGACCAAATTTAGCTTTTAAACRCGCTACAAAAGTCGCAAACTTAAAGAAACGAACGGAAATCCACACACATTAGCAAGCGATTGGAGTATCCATTAGCTTTTGTAACATCTGCGGAAACAGAGCATTTTTCAGGCACGAACAACCAGGCAAACTGATCAACATTTGAATAAATTGAAACAGACTTTCGAAATCGCCGACAATTAGGTGAAAAAATATATATTATAATCACGAATCCCAATCAATAAAAAGCCAATAATTTGATTGGTTGTCGTCGTCCAATTCAATTTGTATATTCGACATCATAGCTCGGTAAAATATTCATAATTGTAGAACCTGGGAAAATAATGAATTATTCACAATTTGGGGGATTGTGAATGAAGTTTTCGGCAAGCCAAAAGGTCGTGCTTTGGTCGGGTATWCAGACAGCAAAACAACAACAAAATCCACAGAAATGGTCGATTTAAGGTTGTTTTAAACAGACTGTCAAAATTGTCTCCGCAAGAATACATTTTCAGTCTATTAACATAAGTACGAGCGCTAACACAGTGTTTACATTTTCCCAACGGAACTAACTCAATGCGAATGCAAATGAGTCGAGATCTGACAGCTCGATTTGGAAGACAGTGAATGAGCCAGCGTAAAATTACGGTTCTGTCACGCCTTGGGAAGGGAAGGCAAGCTTACAGCAGCATACGACGTCGAGTTTATTCGYTCGCTAGCTTGYCAGGGCTTATTCAACGAGCGACGAAAGCGAGTGGTTAGTCAAGAAGCAGGAACCTGTGAGCCAACATGGTGGACGGCTTTGTGGTCGTTCCAAATACGGACATCGACATTGAAAGAAAGATTAAAATAGTTCTTCTCGGAGACAAAGAGGTTGGAAAAACATGCCTTCTTCTCCAGCTCTGCTATAAGTCAAATACGATATCGAGAAAGCATTTGGAATCGATCTCTAACACCTATCAAGCGAATATTATAGTRGAAGGCAAAGTATATCAGTTGGATTTATGGGATGCAGAGTGCAAGGATGCTAATGACAACGTTCGGCCGTCCGCATACACCGAAACTGATGTCTTTTGTGTGTGTTTTTCGGTGAGCGACGCCGAATCATTTCGCCATGTTGAAAACAAATGGCACCAGGAAATTAAAAAGCATTCGCCTAAGACTCCAATTATTCTAGTAGGAACCAAGACAGACTTACGAGAGGCTCATGAGGAAAAGAATGGGAAAGTGGATGAGAAAAAAACGGCATTTATAACTTATAAAATGGGRAAAAAGATGAAAAAGAAACTGGGAGCTATAAGRTACTTGGAGTGCTCAGCACTGACWCAGCGAGGGTATGTAGAAGTCTTTACAGAAGCTGTTAAGGCATGCATCGAGCAGTCGAAAAAGGGAAGTAGCTGTAATATCCTTTAGKTCATCAATAATACTGTGACAATTGACTATTGAGGAGTTAAACATTGGAGAGAAAGAAGGCTGTGGCTTTGAAACGTTATTGATTATCATATTCTAAAAATAGGTTTAAGTGTTAGAAARAAATGTTTATTGAAACATTGGACATTATAAGGCAAAACCACAGATTCGAGATAACCGAAGCTGATATACTATATTCTTAAAATAACAAAATTAAGAATGTAAATATATACCAGTCTATCATATAAAGCTAAATTTGTGTGCATAGCCACTAAGGTAGATGCTATAAGACAAGCACAATTACAAAAATATGTCGTCAATCAGATAAGAAATGAAAATAGGAAATTTGAAACGGTTTGACAAGCTTATTTAGATAAGAGAATATGGAAAAGGCTTACAAATTTAAATGACTCCATATGAAATAGCTAGATTAGAAATTAAATAATTCAGTGTTGTGTGSATATTTTATTTAAGATAGTAAACCAAAATGAGTATTGATCAACTAGAAAAGGTAAAATAGAAATCTTTAATAACTCGTTTATCGGAGGGGAAAAAGTAAAGAAAGCGAGAATGTTTTTGGATATCGATAAGCAATCAATATAAAATCAGAATATCCGACCTCACGGGAAATAGAAATTAAGATATCTAATAGAAACAAGAAAAGAAACAAGAATAAAAAGTACATAATGTATAAGACGAATATATTTACTAGGAAGTTTGTATGTAGTTAAAATGTTTGAGTCAAATTTATCATTACTTATTGTACTATATGAAGAATTTATTTTGATAAAATGTATTATTGAAAAACTCAACCTGTTGAAATACACCATTAAAAACTGACAAAGGTGTCTTGGTGTCAAAACGGATTGAAWATACAGCATAAGTGACCTCGACAGACATGAGGTGTCGAGATGAGACTATGATACGTTTAATATACCATTCATTTRGCATTCAAATCTATTGTTACTATTCATTCATTTGAAAATATACTTATTGAGGTATTTATTGAACGTCGATTTATTACTCGCATTAGAGTACACCTAACGATAAAAAATTGTTTTCCTTGGCTAAAGAAATAGAACATTTGTCTTTTAGTACAAAAAGGAATATATAAAAATATTTAAAACGTGGTTTTCTCTAGCATATGGGGTGAAAAACAATATCTTTAAGGATAAGAAGGGATTAAGAATAGGTTAAAAAGGTGGTTTTCTTTGATTGTTCTTTTGTCTTTAATTGKTCTTATCACTATGCTTATTCGATGTCTCATTGCGCACGTTTGACTTTATTTTTTTGTCTTTTCTTTTGTTCTCGGCTTATGCCTATGTTTATGCCTTTATAGTAAAAACCAAGATACAATGAAAAGCGCTTATAGCCTGGATTATTTTATTTTGTCTTTTGTGTTTCTTTTACACCAAAGTATTGASTATTCTTAAAATTCCAACAGAGGCAGTAATAGCCATGAATCTATGTGTAAATACAGCTATTTCAAAAAACGTTGTCGGGGAGAACGGCGAACGGTGATTGTTGAAGAGAGATTCCACGACCGAAAGAGACTATGGTTACACTGTATTGATCAACAGAATTTCACTTATTGGATTCACCTTACATAGAAATGGAGGCTAAATGGAGCCAATGTTTACCACAGACCATCTTACAGTACAAATTAGTTGTTATCTTATTTCACCAAGCAAAACCCATGACTACTTTCGGTCGTGCAATCRCCGTTCGACCAKKGACATCGCCATTTTACCCTACAGCCTTTTTTGAAATAGCTATATATTGTTTATTCTATTGTTTTCTATCCTAGGAACGGAATTATTGAAATTTTGATAATAGTCAATAAATGTTCGATTTTCTCTATGTTAACCTTTGGGCGAGTTGGTGTATCTGTGATGCAAGGAATTCAGCCAAATTTAATAAGGATTTCATTTATCCAATCTTATTTTCTTCACGTCATCCATTCCTTCATTTTTCACATTCATTTATTAATTTGTTCGTCTATGATCCCATATTTTGATCTATTTCTCTTTTCATTCACACTTCCATTCATTTAGTATTAATCAATAATGTTCATCTATACATCTAATAAAATAATTCATTTTTCACGATAATTCATCACTTATTTCTTGTTAAATCATTGCTATATTATTCTCTATAAAATGTCATACATCGAAAAACAACAAAATATCAATTTAAAATATCAAGTGACAGAAGTACATATAAATATTACTGAAAAAATGAACACAAAGACCGGAAAACCATACAGGCGCCTGCCGAACAAATCACCACTTTTCTAAACAGAASTACAGCTTTGAATAAATTGGTTCACTCAATAAAAAGAGACCCGACAATTACACATTAAAAGAATGATTCCTACTTCATTATTTAAAATTAAATTGTTTGAAATAACGCTTTTTGGTAC